CGCTGCACACGTTTGATCACTACAGCGTCTTATCAGCACGTCCTGATCTCCCAGGCTCCAGCTACTCCTCTGCCTTTGTTTTTCCCCTACAGATCAATGCATTAACCTTTCGCTTTCAGAAACTCTTCACCTCCTTCAGTGTTTTCCTCTGCATCACTGTCAGCTCCCTCCATCTCTTCTTCTTCTTTTCTTTTTGCTCTTTCATGTTTCTGCTCTTTCATACGTGGCGCGGTGGTTCTAATGACTTTATGACCTTCGTCCCTCCTCTTCCTCTGCACCCTTATCAGCCATTTTAATACGTCCACCAGTTTGTTTTCTTTATTTAACCAGGAAGTCCTTTAAGATTGACACCTATTTTTCAAGGCAGACCTGGCACACTGTTATAAGGTTATAATCTAAAAATATAAGTATTATCAAAGTACATAAACAAAACTGTATCATAGGTTGTATTCACACCTGGRAAGTCCTTTGGTCCACTTGTTTGGATCAAATAGCAGACTTCATTTTTTTTCTTTTGGTGCAGTTTACGTTCACATTGTTCTTTTTTGCAAGGGGACTATAATTTATTAACAAAGCCATGAAGGTGAAGCCATGCTCCCATTGGACAGAAATGATGGTGGCGGGACAGAGCACAGACCYAGATAAAATAAAAAGATGATGCTGTTAATACAACTGACTTATTAAGAATGTCAAATGCAGCTCATTCAGTGGTGGTTTTGCGATGATATACTTGTAATTTTGGGACGGCGTTGTCAAATGTGTGCTGCAACCTAAAGGAGATGAGATGATCCGGGTTCTCTGACCCACAACGGCTCATTGTTTGTAGCATAGTGTTAGCATTAGCAACACTGAAGCGCTAATGTTGCTTAGCTAGGGTGGCTCGTGAAGTCCAAAAGTAAAAATGTTTCCTGTATTTGGTTTGGTTCGAGGCTGGTCTGTATTGTGAACTGCACCAGAGTTTGTTTGGAATCGGACGGAGACCACCTCAAAAAGTGGGTCTCGGTCCGAATGTTTGATCTGCACCAGGGTTTGCATGAGTATTCACTAAAAGTTTAAAAATATATTACACGCACGGGGCCATTTTATTTACACACAAAGCATTCTGGGTAAATGATGACGTGGATAGGTMCTCGGTGCGAGGTTGCTAGCGAGCTATATCCACCCTGAAGGTTGGACAATCTTGGACAATATCTGATGATCGACTCTTTTAAATGAAACCAGAGAGCGTTGACAGAGAGGAGAAGGTAGAAATGACTCAGCCTGGAACTGAAAATATGGATGGAGGACAACAGTTTAGCTTGTTTGTTGTGCTAGCACCGAGCTAATACATRWAAGGCARTATAGTGTCGGYGCTAGCACGAAAGCTAACAGGCTAAGCTGAGGTTCTTCATCCATGAAGCAGCTCTGTGTTAAAATATATTTTTAAAAATTATAAAAACTAAACAGCCTTCAGTATTTTACAGTTAAAATATGTTTATCAAATAAAGTCTAATGTTACAACTATTCGTGGATCCCTTTAAGCATGTAGAAAGACCCTAAACAGACTGGAGAGCTGGTCCAGGGTCTTTCTTAAGGTCTCCCAGTTGGACAAGCCCAAACCAGGGAGGTGTCCTGGGGGCTTCCTTACCAGATCCCCAAACCACCTGAACTGGTTCAGGTCTCTGAGATGAACAAACAGGGCATCTTCCTGAATAATACTGTTTTTACCTTCATCCTGTGSCTGCTGTGATGACCTGAGTTCAAATCTGATGGTTTTTATTTTTTCTCCATTCTTTGCTTCCTTGTCTTCGTGTTCTCTCCTACACTGGGCTCTCTTGTCTTCTTTTCACCTCTCATTCCTCCATTCTCACCCCTCCATCTTGTTCTCCGCTGAGACGACCCCCCCCCCCCCCAACACACACACACACACACCTCCACGGCACCCCCAATCATCTCTTTTGAACAAGTGCTGATTAATGACATACACAGATTGATGAATAATTCACCAACGGGCGAACGAGGAAGCAGAGGCAAAGCGGGGGGTGGGGGGCGGGGGGTGATGATGAACAAAGAGATGGATGCTGAGGAGAGGCAGCGAGCACGGGAGAGGAAATAACAGCCAGAACGAGAAGGAGTTTGAGCGGATTATAAAGATGAAACATGGAGGGCGGGTGGAAACAGATGGAAAACTGAGTTCTGGGATATTTAACCTGCAGATTCTTGCGGATCATTTTTAAGCGTTTGTCTTATGATGCTAATAAATACGGGCAAAAATTAAAGAAGGCATATCACCTACCAGTCATGCCAGAATTTAGCACAATGTCTGCTAAACTGGACAAAAATTTATATTCTGGATAAAGCGGAAGATAATGGATGGATGGATGGATGTTGGATGGATGGATGGATGGATGATGGGTGGATGGATGGATGATGGATGGATGTATTGATGGATGGATGTATTGATGGATGGATGATGTATTGATGGATGGATGTATTGATGGATGGATGGATGGATGGATGGTGGATGGATGGATGTATTAATGGATGGATGTATTGATGTATTGATGGATGATGGATGGATGGATGTATTGATGGATGATGGATGTATTGATGGATGGATGATGGATGGATGTATTGATGGATGATGGATGTATTGATGGATGATGGATGGATGTATTGATGGATGGATGGATGGATGGATGGATGGATGGATGGATGGATAGATGATGGATGGATGGGTGGATGATGATAGATGGATGATGGATGATGGATGGATGGATGATGGATGATGGATGGATGTATGATGGATGGATGGATGGAGGATGATGGATGGATGGATAGATGGATCATGGATGGATGGATGGATGATGGATGGATGGATGGATGATGGATGGATGGATGATAGATGGATGATTGATGGATGGATGGATGGATGGATGATGGATGGATGATAGATGGATGATGGATGGATGATGGATGATGGATGGATGTATGATGGATGGATGGATGTTGGATGGATGTATGATGGATGGATTGATGGATGGATGTTGGATGGATGGATGATGGATGGATGATGGATGTTGGATGGATGGATGATGGATGGATGGATGATTGATGGATGGATGGATGATGGATGGATGATGGATGGATGTTGGATGGATGATGGATGGATGATGGATGGATGGATGGATGAATGATGGATGATGGATGGATGATGGATGGATGAATGATGGATGATGGATGGATGATGGATGGATGGATGGATGGATGGATGGATGGATGGATGGATCTATTAAACTGTTAAAAATTCCAAAAGAAAAAAACCAAAACAATAAAAATCAGCTGATTAGAGATTGAACAGAGGAAACTTTGTAACGGATCAGAGCGGACCAGGATCTGTGGTCTCAGGTCTTTGGTCTCAGGGTCTGTGGTCTCAGGGTCTGTGGTCTCGGAGTGTGTGGTCTCAGGGTCTTTGGTCTCAGGGTCTTTGGTCTCGGGGTCTGTGGTCTTGGGGTCTGTGGTCTCGGGGTCTGTGGTCTCAGGGTCTGTGGCCTCAGGGTCTGTGGCCTCAGGGTCTGTGGTCTCGGGGTCTGTGGTCTCGGGGTCTGTGGTCTCGGGGTCTTTGGTTTCAGGGTCTTTGGTCTCGGGGTCTGTGGTCTCAGGATGTGTGGTCTCAGGGTCTTTGGTCTCGGGGTCTGTGGTCTCAGGGTCTGTGGTCTCAGGGTCTCAGGGTCTGGAAGGAGACCAAAAGTGCAAAAAGCCCAATATTGAGTGAAATCTTCAGGCTCATGGAGAGGACTGGGTCTGTGAGACCTGCTCACATTGTAATGAGTCTTCACGGTCTACTTACGACCCATGAATATTAATGTCCTGGGACTTCATCCATCCTGCGCTCTGATTGGTCCTTTCTGTCAGAACAGTCATCGAGCCGAAGGATGCTATTTAAGAAAAACACTTGAAATGCTCCAGGACCAAAATAAATATTCATTGTATATTCAGCCTCTTTATTTCTGCGGCGTTCCTGCAGATGTGTGCAGTTCTGGCGGTCCGTCGGCTTTCTGACGGGGGCTGTTTGCCGTCGAGCTCTCTGCTCGGCTTTTTTATTCTGCACGATTTTTTTTCCTTCCAGTGAGTCATTCTCACCCCCACAGACCCACACGCTGCTCCCCCTGACGTCTCAGACACGACCCTTAAACTGTCAGAGATTAAAAGCCTCATAACCGCCAGGAAATGTGTGACGACATCACTGTGGGTGTGTTTTAATTCTACCCACACCCCCACCCACACCCCCACCACGTCCTCCTTCCTCGAGACGACGACGTTTGTCCTCGTTTGAAGCTCGGGATGTAAAAGCTTCAGAGGACGGCTGTTTACGCTCACATCAGGTCCCTGTTCGGCTGCGTAACGTGTGATTTGTAGATGTGGGGATTGTTGATTTGTTTGATGCATATTGTGTCGACACCAGGCCTCTTCCAAACAAGTTTCTCTTTTTAAATTCATGCAAGTGTTAAAAAAACAAACAAACAAACAACAGCGCTGCCGCTGTAGATGTAGATGCTAAAACAGTTTAGGATCACGGCTGATTGGTTTTACGTTGCAGTTTGCATTAATCCACATTAAAACCAGACCTTTAAATATCTTTTAGGGTGAATAATGTCTGCGCTGAGGCACAGCTTCTTTAACCGCTGTCAGAATCTGCAGAGGTGTTTTATTTAGTACAAGCAGACTGCAAACTAAAACTAAAGAAACTGCATTTCTGCAAAGTTAAATATGAGCCATGAGTGCAGAACAACTGAGCTGAAACTCAGCAGAAGTAGCCAGATGTTAGCTTAAAGCAGCAAATATTAGCTAAAAATAGCTAAAACTATTAAAAGGCTTAAAGTGTTTTTAAGAGACCTAGTTAAATATTTTTGGTAGAAGTTTCAAAGCATTGGGACATTTTCTAATCGTTCTAGTTAAAATGTCTGCTGCAGGTAAGATACTGATTGTTTCTAATCCCCCCGCCCCCTGGTTTTCCACAGATATCTCCGTCAGCCTGCTGTCGGTCATCGTGACGTTTTGCGGCATCGTCCTCCTCTCCGTCTCCCTCTTCGTTTCCTGGAAGCTCTGCTGGCTGCCGTGGCGGGACAAGGAGGGCGGGGGGATAAGCCTGACGTCGGGCTTGTTGCCCGGGACCGCCGGGGTCGGGAGCCTCGGAGGAGCCGGGGGGTCGTCTCTCTTACCCCCGCTGCTGCAGAGGAAGGATGGCCAGTCCTCGTCCTCGCTCTACCCCTCCCTCGGTCAGCAGGGCCACCCCCACTTCTCTGACCTGGTGGGGCTGGAGAGGGGGGAGGTCGGAGGAGTGGTCGGGGGCCCGCACGAGACCCAGGAGCACTCGTACCTGGACATGGACTCGTACCCCAACAACGCTGGTGAGGAACAGAAAACACGTTTTATCCCAGCAGAGCTGCAACGTTCGGCTCCAACGTGATGAATGCTGGACATTTTTCTAATCATAAAAAACGGACTTTATGTGGTGCCGTCCAAAAACCATTACTTTTTCATCCCTTCAGTCCCGGCTCTTATTACAGATATAAAAATACAGAAATCATTTCAAGATTTCTGCTGAGTTCATCTTTTGAATTTCATGCAGATGTTTCCAACCCAAAGATCAGAGAAAATGTCTTTATCCACTCAAACTGTTTAAAACTAAACCTTAAAGGAATAATCTAGTTATTTTTAAAGGATAACACTTTATAGTAACTACACCTTATTTAGCCTTTATTAATCACTAATTAATGGTTAGTTAACCTTAATAACATCATTAATTAAGGATGATTCATACTTAACAAGAAATATAAAACAGTTATCAATGCTTTACACATAAAGACTACTGTAATCACTTCCAAATTTTGTTTATTCATGCTTAATAACTCATGAATTAATTATTTTATATACTGTGTACTTGTATGTAAATGCTCATTAATTTATTGCTAATTAACTGTCACTCATCCTTAATTAATGATGTTATTAAGGTTAACTAACCATTTATTAATGATTAATTAAGGCTAAATAAGATGGAGTTTGTTATTAATGTTTGTTAAACTACTTTGTATTAAAAACTAAACCTTAAAGGGATAGTCTGGTTATTTTTGATGGATAAGTCTATATAGTAACTACACCTTATTTAGTCTTAATTAATCATTAAGAAATGGTTAGTTAACCTTAATAACATCGTTAATTAATAATGATTCATACTTAACAAGATATATAAAACACCATTATCAATGCTTTACACATAAAGACTAATTACTTCCAAAATTCATTGTTTATTCACACTTAATAACTCATGAATTAACTATTTTATATACTGTGTACTTGTATGTAAATGCTCTCATGAATGTACTTTCATGCCATTTATTAGACATCTTATGTATTAATTTATTGCTAATTAAGTGTGAATCATCCTTAATTAATGATGTTATTAAGGTTAACTAACCATTTATTAATGATTAATTGAGGCTAAACAAGGTGGAGTTATTATAAAGTGTTATAAGTGATTCTTAAACTATTAAAAACTAAACCTTAAAGGGATAATCTAGTTATTTTTAAAGGATAACACTTTATAGTAACTACACATTATTTAGCCTTAATTAATCACTAATAAATGGTTAGTTAACCTTTATTAATCACTTAACAAGATATTTAAAAACAGTTATCAATGCTTTACACATAAAGACTACTGTAATTACTTCCAAATTTTGTTTATTCATGCTTAATAACTCATGAATTAATTATTTTATATACTGTGAACTTGTATGTAAATGCTCATTAATTTATTGCTAATTAACTGTCACTCATCCTTAATAATGATGTTATTAAGGTTAACTAACCATTTATTAATGATTAATTAAGGCTAAGTAAGGTGTAGTTGTTATAAAGTGATACCCAACAGCTTTATGTGCATCATCACATTTTTTGCTGCCATCTTTCTCGTTTCATTTAACTCACATAAGGCAACAACGTGGTGTCACTGCTGACGCCACACAGGCTGATGAGGAACTGCAGGGTGATCCGCAAGTTGTTGCCCCACCGCTCGTTGGAAACCAGAGCATTCCAGGCATTTTCAATCTCTGGTCCAGGAACCTCGTCTCCATACTGGAAAATAAAAAAATCGAATAAAATCAGCGGAAGATGGCAAAAGAAAAATTGAAAAAAAAAAAAAGAAAATAAAAATCATGGCTTTCCCACCTTAGCGGTCATGAACATGAGGTTGTTGAGCACCAAAGAGGTCGCCTGCAGGGAGCCCCAGCCGTTACCTCTCAGACTGGGGGACATGCCCTGCGCCTGGCCGCGGGCTTCCTCCTCAGGAGTGCACGGGCTGGAGGCTGGGGGGAGGAGGCCCGTGTCCACCAGCTCGATGTTACTGAGCCAGGGTAGCAGGTAGGACAGCATAATCTGTCTGCCGTTGGGATGGGTGGTTGGAAAACGCTGACTCACCTCTGCATTATGGAAAAATAAATAAATAAATATCAGGGGGATTATCTATGTGCAGATATTATACTTCAGTTTTCATAAACTGATACAGATTGGAAGTTAGCTGCATAAAAAAGTATTTTATTAAGTTTTATGATACAGAAAGCATATCAAAGATCAGTGTACTGCATATTTTCATTTCATTTCATTGCATTTATTC